TATTTAACAGTGAGAATAGTAGGACTAGGGGACACAAGTATAAACTTTGGCAAGGTAGGAGTCATGTTCAGCTAAGACAGTTTCATTTTTCTAATTGGGTGGTTGGCCTTTGGAATGGGTTACCTTCAGATGTTGTAGAGGTAGTAAAGTTAAGTGAGTTCAAGAAAAAGCTTGATAAGTATATGAATGATAAGGGCTGGCTTTAAGATTTAAAAAAAATATATATTTTAATTTAGTTTAGAGGATGGAATGGCCGAGATGGACCAATAGGTCCCATGTTGTCCTAAAACATTATGTTATGTTATATTATCATATTTATTTATTACAACACATCTGAAACTCACAGAAGTCTGTTTTAGTTTTTATTCATATGTTACCATCTTATTTGGAGGATGTTTCACATCCTCAAAAGTGCAAATCAAGAAAACAACAAATGTTCAAGGTAGAAAAACTTGCTTAAACCTGGCAACAAATTAAGATTGTTTTAAACATCTTTTTCATATGTCATTGCAGTTAAAAACTGTGTTAAAATCTTTAAATTTCACTATAACTTAAATTATTCCTCCTGGATCAACCCACCTGCTTTATTGAGTTAAAAATATCCCTTGAAAGTAATGGGATTCAAAGCTTCTAGGTTCAAGTTTTAGTTAGGGTAGATTGCTTTTGTTTATTATTAGATCAATGAAAATGAAAATTGAATGTCAACATATTGTTCATATATTGAGATTTTAACAGTTATTACCAAATCTTAATGGATAAGAATTATTGGTTATAAAATATCAAATCAGATTGCTTTTCCCCTGATTCAGCTCACTGCCACATAATATAATAAACCAAAAATATAGCACAGATAAAAGAAAAGCTAATAATATTTGTGCACTGTTAATAATCAAGCATAGCTTACAAGTTTTACATTATATATATATATCATTCAGTATCTTAAAACTGCCTAAAAAAAGTCAATGGTTGAGTACAAAACTATTAACAAAAACAAAAAAAACAGAGCTAATACATACTTTATAAAGTGAGTAATTGTATGGCTAATTTTCCACTTCCCAACTTCAATAATGGCCTTCAGTTATGTGAAAATTAAGTTGACTTTTACTTCATTAAATGTCTTATGTGTAAGATTTGAAAGCAATACTATATGGATACAGCCTGACAGATAGGTAGAGAGAAAAGTTTCTGTCAAACAACTAAACCAAGAAACAACAGTAATGTATATAGAGTGTTAATAGCATTTTATACAAGTTAATTCAAAATTCAATAAAAGCAGTAAGAGTTACCTCATGATGACTCAATACTAAGGGTCAAAATATTGTAATTATCAAAATAAAAACTTGCATACTGTAAAAAGACACACTTCAAAATCAATGGCTGTTTTCAATAGCTGAAGAAATTGGAATCACAGCAACTGTCTATTTCACTGTACCCGTTAAGTCCCTCAGTGTAATTAAAATGCATTTGTGTGTCTTTGGTTTGCTTAAACTTAGTCTTGAATGCTAATGTCTATGTACAATGGAATATAAGGAAAGTTTGTCAAGATGCGTGACAGATCTTGTGATCCTTCACAGAAGTTTGTTACATTGGAAATTGTTGTGTCAGGCAGTAATGTGTAATCATGGTCATCAGCATGATCATGATTAATGACAGAGAAAGTAGTCTCAAGTGCAAGTAATTACAAGTACATGAAAAACAAATAGAACTAGAGTACAAATTACAGAGTAGGAAGAGTAATATGTTTCTTAGCATGTGGGGCTAGTTGTAGAAATATTACACTCACAATGGTGATATAATCTGACCTTGTACTCACTATATGTTTTGAACCTGTATTATTTAACATGCAGCACAAGTGCTAACTTGTATTTTTGCTCCCATCTTTTACATACAGTACATGATACATACAAAAATACACACACAAGTATATACACATCACACAAGCATAAAATTAATAAAATGCATTAAAATGAACCTATAAAAATAAAAACATAGGTGTTGGTGTACTTGTACTATGTGCCACATATAGGATATATTATAATTTGTGCATGTTATGTAGTACTGGCCAAAAAAAGTGAGCCATAGCTAATTTCTCATATGCAGGATGGTGATTGGTAAGTTTTGGTTTTAGTGTCTACTGCATGCTGTTGCTTGCATCTATTTTTGTGTATGACATTCACATATTGTTTGCAATACAATTTGAATTATCAGAAATGATATTAGAAACATTATTCATCATGGTTTTTGAAATGTCAGAGCTGCTTTATGAGGCGTTTTAATGTTTTTCTACACCAACGTAGTATGCAGATCTATGTTCGAGTAGAAAAGTTGCTAAGAAAATGCAGAATTTTACATAAATGTGAGGTTTGAAATTAGGATCAGATGCTTCAGTATTGTACACAAGTTTCTAGTTAAATTATCATTTTTCCAGCTGCAGTTAGCTATTACTAACGAAGACAAAACAAATAATTATTAACTATAAATATCAAACAGTATTATATGTTATTAATGACAGACTATGGGTTGACAAATAAAACTTAACAAAAACGTTTACAAATACCTGCTTAATAACATTTATTATTTTCAATCTGTTTAATTTCTTCAATTTAATTTTTTGTCAATTTTTCTATTAAGAGTAATAACAGTCTCACAACAGGTTGCAGGTACTAATGGATAATTCAGATATGGTACTTTGAGGGCCTGAGCATCTACATCTGCTTTTAATTGAATTCTGAATTTCATTCCACAATCAATATTAAGTATGACAGAAGTAGAGCTACCCGTGAATGGGTTCTGTTTAGAAGTAGAGCTACCTCTGAATGGGTTCTGTTTCAGCAGATTTCCCTCCTTTTAAAAAAACCTCTACATTCTCATTCTACAGTTTTTACTACAATTTTATTTGTTTGTCCTAAACTGTTTTTGGGTTGGTTATTAGACTGATATCTAAATTCATCAAAGATACGGATTTCCTGTTACATTATACTTTCTCTTCTTGTGGTATTTAACATAAATGTTGTGGTACCTTTGAAAATATTTATGTGTGTGGGGGGTGGGATGTACATATAAAGTGAATTTTCACAATAACTACAAAATATTAGTGGATCATTTTAAAAGAAGCTTGAGACAATGTGGTGTTAAAAACTGCTATACTTTGTATATTAAGAATTATCAACATACCAGTATCTTTGTTGATATAAAATCCCTCAACAGGAGTTAGCCCAATGCTGTATGTTAATCTGGCATTGTCTACAGAATCAAGATCAGTGGCATTTACTTTGATTACAAAATACCCTGGTTCTACAAATTCAGGTAACTGTACCTAATAAAACAAAAGAAACATAGCCTTAATTAACACAAATAAAAAAATGTCTGAAACCTGCTCAGATTAGTAGAGAAATATGATATTAGCTAAAATATATACCATAAATCTGTAAAAGAAGATAACTCTCAATTCTAATAAGCAGAGGTATTACTTAGCTTATTCTAATAATGCTTCTTAAAATATTTTACATGTTAGAATATGTAGGCTTAAGCAATAGAATACAATGTTTTAGGAATATACATATATAAGCAGTTTTATTTTTTCAGAAGATCCTTTACATTTTTATGATGACTACATAACAAACAGAGAAATAACTATTTTGTAGCTGTGATATTCTTTAATTGCATTTTTCTATTCTTGTTTGATAAAAACTAACAGATCTTTACAATTAAAAGCTAATATTTTGACCGTAATGTAAGAAAAAAATTTTTTTTCTAAATTTCAAAAATTCTAAATTACACAGTATTTGGTTTATAATTTCTGACAAACAACTAACCTGGTAAGATTGTTGTTCAAACACAGGGGCATTATCATTAATATCTGTTACATGAACTGTGAGGTATGTCTTTGCAAGATGGACAGAGTCTGATACTTGGAGCTGAAGCTGATACTGATTTTGTTTCTCATAATCCAAAGGTTGTGCAAGAGTGATACGACCACTAAATCGATCAATGCTAAAAACTCCACCAGGGTTTCCTCTCTTTGAGAAGCTATATATTAATGCTGGGTTTGTATCAACATCATTGGCCGTAATCGTTGTAATTACAGTACCTACTACAGCACCTAGTGTGTAAGAAACCACATGTATAATTATTCCATTAGAACACAAGCTTCACAAACAAATAAAAGGAAAAATATATTTTAAAACTTTTACTGATACCTCAAATAAGGTTAATTGTAGAAGCAGAAACAACATTATAAAAATGTGATATTTTTTGTGTTAGCTTAATTACAGATATATTTTACTAGAGAATATTTTAGCGTGTAAACTTTCAAAAATTTTATCCTGCATAAATAGGGAAGTATAAACATATAAGCTGCAGTTATCATTTCATGCTGAAGAGTGAATTCAAAGTCCAACCATGCACTTTGGCAAGCCCTTTCAAAATACTGGTATTTAATCATTTTAAATAATTACTTCATTCTCGTCATCCTTATAACTGCATATTAACTATGATGAACAATTATTTGCCATCATACCTTCACTGATGCTGACCACATTATAAGGAGGAAACACAGGTTGATTGTCATTTACATCAACAATGGTTATTTTGAGCAAACATGTTCCTGTGAGCTGTGGAACTCCTTCATCTGTTGCAATGATAGTCAAAAAATAGTTGTCTCTTATCTCTCTGTCCAAGACTATGTTTGTTTTGACAATTCCACTGAAAGGTGGGTCAACCACAAATGCATTGTCATGGTTGCCATCAAGTATGTGGTAAATTACAGTGCCTCTTCCCCTCTTGTCTTCATCTGTTGCTGAAACCTAAGTAGTAAGATTTCTTTAAAACATAAATTAATTTACAGTAAATACTCCAAAACAGAAGTGTAACTAAAATTAAGGTGATATAATAAACTAGAATTTTTTATATTCTGTTCACCCTTTCCAGACCAGGGTGTATCACTGATATTCCTTGTTTAGTTTCCTTCTCACAGTGGAAATGGATAACAAAATAATATAAAACTTCTTAGTAGTGTGAAAATTCAAATAATTTGATTTTGTTTTCTATCATTTTTATGTCATGAAATTTCCAAATTTTTTGAGACACATTTAAAAAAAAAATTAAATACTTCTTTTCATCGTAGACTTTCAATCTTTTAATATTATTGATAAGAATGTTCCTTTCTATATCCAATCAATTTCAACTTAACTGAATTTCATTAATATATTTATTTTGCTGATTGTAGTAGTCACCACTTCTGGTTATAAATTGTAAAAAACACCACACAATTTGACTTGATTTTTTAAAATGGTGTCAGATCAAGCTAGGTAATAATGCTGTTGGTCCAAATTAATTGATGTATAACAAATATACTTTCTTTTCAATGAGTTATATTTATGTGCATTGTTTGAATATGATAAACTTAAAAATTTTATTCAATAAGAATTTCAGTCACATTTAAGTCACCACAATATTTAATAATCATAAAAGAAAATTGCTGTGACTTTCCAACAAATATAAATTAATATAAAAATATTGTCAAAAATGCAAAGAATATCTAGAGAAACTACAAAAAATTCCCAGTGTGTGGTTTGTTCTTAAGTCTTCCAAACTTACCATTATATTCCATTGTTCTTCTCTACCTGAGCAAAATGTTTCACTTTCTCATGAAACAACAACTTTATTTACTCTATAGTGACATAAATAGTTTATAACCTGCTCTATCCAGTGGTATTTAAACTTTGCCTGTAGCTACATTTAAAACAGAGCTTCATTAGTTTTTAGATAACATGCTGTGAGATGTTAAAAGGTAGAAAAGTGGGTTGTACTCAATAAAATCTGTAGAAGGAAAATCACATGAAAATTAAAATATAGATAATTAGCTTTTCAGTGGATGATAGTGTCATAGCAAATACAAATTTGAGCTTTGGGATGAGCAGAAAAACTTCTAAAACAATCAAAAGTACATTGTTTATACGCAAGTCTCTGCAGAGCAGCACAGAAATGTAATTTTGATTTTTTTTTCATTTTTCTTTTAATATTAAACTAAATAATTTTAAAAAAATGTTAAAATATCAATTCTAAAATATATTTGAGTAAAATATTGTTGAAAGAGAGGTAGAAGCGTTGCTTTTGTTTAAACTTAGAAATTTGATATGCAAGTGCACACTCAACCTCTTGAAGATAATCATCAGTCTGGGAAGGGTTAAACTAAATAATTGCATTATTCTAAGTCAAACAAAAAAAAAATTAATAGTTTTTAAAGACAAACTGTCGTATTAACAAAATCAAACATAAGTGGAAAAATCAAAATACTTGAGTAACATATGTCCCTTTGTGGTTTCCCTCCCAAACGGAAGATACATAACGGTCTTGAGAAAATTGGGGTGGGTTATCATTCTGATCAACCAACTGTACAACTAAGGAAGCATAACCATACATAGGAAGAAGATCATCTGTACGAGCTACAATGATCATTTTTTGCTGAGAAGTGGATTCAAAGTCCAACTGTTTAGGATCACGCACTTTGATAAGCCCTATAATACATATAAATAGAAAGTAAAAACTGCATTAGATCAACCCACAAATTAACATACTTGTAGCTAAACATTTTAGAAAGTATTGTTTATATTAAAATCATAACTAGACATGTACAAAGTGATGTCAATGTTTGTAATGTTGTACTTTTATATCTTACAGATATTTTTACTTTTTAGAATGACTAACAAGTATATTTATTATATTTAACATTCAATAAGCAATTAAATCAAATTTATACCTAAGAAACTTTTTTTCTCAAAAGTTAAAGTGATGTACTAACAACTTTTTTAATATCATTTTACCTAACTAACTTTTCAAAATGGCAAACAAACATTATTCTACAGTGCAAAATTGCTGTAAAGAAATAAGCATATTAAACTATGTGTTTAAAATCAAGTACATATTCAAGGCTTGAATTAATGATAGTAAATTAGCAAATTGCTGGTTAGTGTTGTAATTTTGCTAGTAAAACTTAAAAGGCACTAGAAAAAAGTTGTGAGTAAGCATTTTGGTCACTTATTTATCTTGCAAAATTCTCAGTAGAGAAGGTTACTATAATTATGATTAGGCAATTAACATACAGACTCACAGCCTCTGCCGTGCTGTTTTGCCAGCAACGTGGTTAGAAATACTGAGCCTAGGTGGTTGTTCATTAGAGGTAATAATAAGACAGAAATCATGTGAACTGCAGATGTCTTTTTTCCACATTCCTCTTAATTTGTTCATGGATTAATATAAATGTTAAACTTATTGGCTTCTAATGCATCACCAGCTTTCAGTGTTTAAACTATAACTTTTAATAATAAGATACTTTTTTCTTTAGTGCCTTCAAAAGTTAAGGTCAAGGCCTGATATTAATTAATTATTTTAATGAGGTACCTTGCAACTACCCCCACATAAGTGAAGCACAGAAAAAACTTGTCCCTCATGTGTAGCCTCACTCTCACCCATGCATGAATGGTCATCTATTGGCATGCAAAAAACATGACTAATTAGTTTCTATTAAAGAAATTTCATTGAAAACCAGGTGTGCTCATTCAAGCATTGGAATGTTTTGTCACCTTACTTCAAATCAACTGAAGGATGAACTAAGGAAAAAGGAAGAAAAGCTAACTGTGGAAAAAGCAAGCTGATTGAAAGGTGGCTGTCTTGCACACTTCATTGTTCATGCTTTATTGCAGTGACAGCATTTACAGTACTGCATTGAAACTAGAGTAGATCATGCCCAAGATCAACAAAAATGAGCATTCAAAACTTTAAAAGAATTTTTCATATAATATGAAGTTTTTGATGAACATTGGCATCACAACTTGTTTCAAAAACACAAGTTTGTACATGTACATATCATCAACCCGTACTCAGTGTTGTGATAGTACAACATATCTATTCAAATTAAAATATATTTCAAGTATTTGAATTATAGTAAATGCATTATGGTGTGTATTTAGGGAAAGTATGTTTGTTATCCTATATTTTCCTCTTTGTCTCTGAACATGAAGATGTTGCTTTCGAAGTATGTTATGGAATGCTCCTCTATGTTTGTTACTTTTTAGTGGCTACTTATTAAAAAACATATCATCACTGTAGTTACTTCAAGAGACATATTTAAGACCCACTCATAAAATACTATAAGCATATCCCGTTTCATAGCTATATAAGAAGGTCAGTATCCATGTCATAGAATATATCTAACATTTTTCAAATACATATGTTTATGTACATTATTAATAATGTGACCATTTGACATGTTGTATGCTGTCTGTTCTGCCATGAATACTGGAAGTCGGCTAGTATTGTTTTCCTTTTATGATGCCATCTGGTAGTGACAATGTCAACAAGGTACCTCATTGATATCAAAGTTTCAAAAAAAGGTTGCACATATAAACACCTCTGAAACTACCTCTCAGTAACAAAATTCATGATATTAGGAAAACAAGTTGGTTCAAGAAATCAATTTAACACAAATACATGAAACCCTATGTAACCTGAGCACTTTCAAAAGGTGAACCTTTCTTCATCAGAGGCAAACTGGGAATGCTCCTGATGAAGAAAGGTCCATCTTTTGAAAGTGCTCAGGTTATAGGGTTTTGTATCTTTGTCCCAGTAACAAAAGTCAACTGTAAAGTTCTATGCCAGTCCAATCTAAAAAAAATATTAAATATATGGATGGATTTCAAGTTTGCACTTGATCACAATAAAATAATAAATGGCAATCACGTATGATATACCATTTATCTTTTAAAATTTAAATAATGACTCACTGCTAGATGTGAGGTAAGCTGATACAGTGATAAGCAATCATACAAATAAATGCGAGTTAAATTATATACAGTACTAAGTAATATAATATTATATTGGTTTTTACCTGTTCTTGAATTAATTGTGAATGCTCCTTCCTGATTTTCTGATGGAAAGCTGTATTTGATGACTGAATTTTGGTGGTGACTGAGAGAAAAAACAGCCTTTACACTAGTAACTTCTATTCCTGTTGGAGGATTTTCTGGGAGCTCTACCATGTATGTTTCATTCTGAAATTTCAGAGAGGCCACTAATCCTCTGTTTCCAACAATAATTTCTAAAACACCTGCAGGATTAAAAAAATAAACATAACTTTTTTAAATCCTTATATGTGTAACATTCACAGCTAGAAAAACAATAGAAAATAACAAATCTGTTATATGCAAAAACTAAAGAGAATCATAATATTGGCTCAAAATCAACATATCCACTGATCCAGTCTAACATTTTTCACTAGTTATGTGTTCCACTTGAGCATGCATATTTTCTCATAAGCCACTGTTTAGTATTTTACAGAATAAAGTAATTATTTAGAATACTTAGAAAAAACAAGAAACACAACAATCATTTATAAATATTTTAAATGTTGATGTGACTGAATTTTCAAAAATCTTTAAAGAGTAATGTGGTAAAAATCAAAAGTTGAAGTCACAAGAAATATATATATATATATATATATATATTTTGCAGCATAGAAAACCAGTAAAACCTATACTGCTTATGAATAAGTTTTCATTTTCATCACTTATTTTTTAAATTTCAAGTTACATTAAATACTAAACTTCAACAAGTATATCCCATCATATTATTAGACTTAAATTATTGTCAGAAACAAACAAAAACAATATTCACTTTACCAGAAGCTGTAAGAGAAGGATGTCCATTATCTTTTGAAGCAATCTCAATATGAAACATCTTGCCTGCATCAGGAAGAAGACTATCTGCAACAGTTACAACTCCACTCTTGCTATCCAGGTGAAACTTGGAATTAACATCCTGGGAAACAAAACTGGTATAGGACAAAAGCCTTGTTATAAAAAACATTCAGCAGATGAGAAATCCAACTGTTATGGTCATGGAAAATTTAAAGGAAGTATTAAACATTTTATGTATCACTTATTCATACTATGAAGGTTAAACAGACTTAACCACATAAGAACTTGGTTTAAAGGAGTAATAAGGAATAGCATAATATCGAACTAAAAATAATAATAAACAGTCCTAGCATATAAGCCTGAAACAGAACAACCTCTTAGGTATTGACTTTTTTAATTCAAAGAATACCTACATCTAATTTCACAAATATTTTTGAAACTATAAACATTTAACATTTTAAAGATGCATCAAGTACCAGCCCTAAGAATTTGTATAAATATAAATAGAAAAGTAAAGGTCTGCACATTACATATAGTTCAATAGGAATTCAAGAACTAATTTTTGAATTAAATATATTTGTACCAAATTAAAATATAGTAGGTAAAAATTCTTTTTAAAAAGACCTATGCTCTCTATTTACAATTTTCTAATTCCCACTACTCTTATAAGAAGACAAATTTCACATGTAAAGGTCCACTGTTTAATGCTTTGAGGTCAAAATATTTCTTTTTATAACACTTCAATATCAATTCTTTACTCAATACATTCTTGATGTGTTTACTCACCTGTAACGAATCTCAGCATTTGAACCTTGATCAAGATCTCGAGCTTCTAACTGAATCACTTGTGTGCCAGGACGGGCATGAGCAGACACTGATGCCACAAATGGGTAACTTATAAATTTGGGCTTATTGTCATTCACATCGAGCACTGTCACATGCACAAGTGCTCTTTCTGATCGTGCATCATACTGTCCACCATCAGTTGCCCGAACTTCAAACATGTAAGATGACTTCTTCTCTCTATCAAAGTGACTAAAACAAAAACACCTTATATCTACTAATTATGCTTTAATTTACAAATAATTGATAAGAGAACTCTTTTAACTTATAAATCTTATTAAAAAAATACATTATATTATAGTATTAAGTTCAAAGAGCAGCATAAAACTAGTTCAAGCTCCACCAAACAAAAAAAAGAGATAAAAGATAGTTGCTTAATCAGTTAAATAATATAAAATTTGACCAAACCAAAGTTGTTTAATTTTAGTCACTTCCTCAGCGAGATTTTTAACACTGCATTTAGCAGTTATGTACATATAAACTAAATTACTTAAATGAGATTGATAAAAATTGCACTTCATAAGCTTAATACAGTTCACACATAACAGTTGTTGTTGTTCATGTAATTTTATAATATAAATAACATCTCAACCACTACAATGTCTGTCATATCAAAACCAGCCTGATAAGCACTGATATTGGATAAAAGGCTTCATTTAGCAATGGATATAACATGTAGCATGGGTGATAATAAATATATATATTGCAAAGGCACAATCTACATAACATTAAGTTGTTTCCTTAATAGTATAGTACCACTGCAAATTATCACTGCTCTTTTAATGTTTGAATATGTTTAGTAAAATTTTATTTGTCTTATTTACATTTTACTAATCATTCCATGTATTGGCATTTGGCCATAATTTTGCTGTTTGTAAATTTCTTTCAGGTCTGTCCATATCATTATTGTTGTATATGAAGTATGTGGAAGTCTTACTGTTTATGTATTTGCTGTACTGTAGCATCCGATTAGGTGTATCTAACATGAAACTTAGATGTAAGGTTAAAACTATTACTCAAACCAAATAAGTGATTTAATTGAAGTGATTTTTGTGAGAGAGTATTAGATAATGTTAAAATGCTTAATATACATCCCTAAGAAGTTGTAGACACTTTAGTTGATGGAGAAAACCAAATATACAACAGTAATATCCACATAGCTATCATTTAACCAAGACTCAGTAAAACCTATGATACCTAACATGCCAACTGTCACCAAAGCTTCCACATCAAATAATACACTGTAAAATCTACAATTTATTAATCTTGCCATCTAAAAATCTATGACATGGTCCCCTCTGTCAAATAATTTTTCCCACCTCTATCAAACAGTTCCTATGCAGAAAGAAATCATCAGACACAGAAACTTGTGTCAAACAAGTCCAATCCAGACATATTCCTGATTATCTCTATTTAATCTTTGAACCCTGCTTAAATAATTTTTGTTAACATTCTGAACTCTAGCACATGGAAAGAAATGTCTAGTCCTTGTTATCTTGTGTACTCCATCACAAAGTATGTTTTTTCTGCATAATTAAATATTGAATTTTGAATTATTTTAAACACCTTTGAGGCCCTTTCTTCCCCATCCTCATCAACAGCCAGTGGTTCAAAAATCAGTTTGAAACAGTCACCTACATATGATTTAGGTCTTTCACCACATCTTTACTAACCCAGTTTTTCAATCCTTAATGCTCCAAAAAAACAGCTTTGATTTAAACATTTTCAATTTCATTTTCTTACTTTTATGGCTTACTTAGCTAGCCTATTTCTTTCACTATCTAGTTTGCAATTTTTTCCTATATCAAATTCAACTATCTCTTCAACAATTAACCCCTATAAATAAATTCCAATGAATCTTGAAAACTACAGGTTAACCCACTCACTGTCTTTATCATATGCACCATATAAACTACACCATTTACTTCTTCACTACCCATAACCATTACCATAATAAAAGGAAAAAATATGAACTACATACAGTATAATTGTGATGGGAATAGCCTTAACAAAAAAAAAAAAAGAAGAGTTAGAGGGAATTTGATTGAGGTGTTTAATCTTAAGATTACTAAGAGAACTAATAATGTTATGAATCATCTTTTTAGAACTTAATGGCAAGAATGGTAGGAAAATGGGGCAAATATATAAACCATGGCAGGATAGGAGTCATCTTCAGTCGAGATAGTTTTATTTTTCTTACAGGATGATTTGCTTCAGGTGTAGTGAATGCAATGAATTTTAAGAAGTTTAATGAAATTCTTAATAAAAAAAAGAATGATAATGATTAGCTTTAAGTGTAATATATTTTTTTTCTTAAGTTTAATTTAGAGGGTGGGATGGCCTAGATAGACCAAGAGGTTCACTGTTGTCCTTAAATTTTATGTTTATATTATGTATATAGAGAAAATATTAAATAATTTAAAATAAAAGGCCCTAAAAGTAGAAGATGGACATACATTTAAACAATAATAGTATTAGTGATATTCACTAATTTTTTACAAATAAAAAACCTAAATTAATCAAACGAGAAATAGAGTAAAGCTACCTTTACACATGTATTAACTAAAAACTTACTAATGTAATTTATCTTAGAAAAACCCATAACTATCTCCCCAAAAAAGGAGAAAACAAAAGTTAAAATTATAATAATTAGAACATTTGTTCCTGAGAATGAAGAAATGACTTTCTACAAAAGAATTAAAAAATCTGAGGAGCTGTCTACTAAGACATTACATCACTTGTACTCTCATATTTATATCTTACCCAGTTGTTGTGATCACACCAGTTGCACTATCTATCTTGAAAAGAGAAAGTGTTTCATTACTTAAGGAGTATGTGATATTGTTGTTCCTCCCATCATCCTGATCATGAGCTTGTACAACAACAACTGTGGTGTTCAAAAACGCATTTTCAGGAACTGATGCATGGTACTCATTTTTCTCAAACACAGGATCATTGTCATTCTGATCCAAAACAGTAATGGAAATGTTACAAAAGCCTGAGAGAGATTGCTTTCCATTATCTCGAGCAGCAATGATAAGATGGTACTGTGAAATTTCTTCCCTGTCAAGTGGATGACTAGATAACTCTCCACTGTGAAGGTCCAGAGTAAACTTATTGTTGGTGTTTCCACCTTAAATGAAATATGAAAATTATTAATTCATTTTCTATGTTTCCTTTTGAAGTAATTAGTTAATTAAATATATCATGACAAGACTCAAAATAAACTGAATGATAATTTTCTCTATAATCAGTACATGTAAGAAGCAAATATCATGTAAGATGGAAGAATTTTGGACTCATTTATATGTCTTAAATAAAACCATTAACGCAGCTATTATTTTTTGAAAATATATGCATAATGAATGAATGTTATGTCATAAATAATATCTTTTGTAAGGCTATAGCAAAGGGTAAATTTGTACCTTCAAAAGCTTGGAAAAGATTACTAAATGAAATTTAGAACCTTTCATTTACTGATGATTTCACCATAAATACTACTTTATATTTGACTGAAAACTTTTATTTTACATGTAAATCACATAAATGAAATAAAACATTCATGTGTAATTTCAGAAAATTTTTTATATCAATATTAATATATATATATATAAAATGATAGTCATATATTATATTTTAAATGTAAAAAACAAATGTTGTTTATATACACGTATTTAATGCTATGTAGATGTATGAGTATTGCATATCCTTTATTTAACAGTCACCATTCCAAGCAGGTTAACAGTCATAGTCTTTTTTAAGATAAAACTGTTGGTTAATTAAGCCTACATAATAAACATAATGATTAACAGCAAAATACAACAGAGAAGCATTAACAACTTGGTTAACAAATAAATATGTACCTTAAGTTACAATAAAAAGCAACAAGAGAGAGAGAGAGAGTGTTATTATCAATAATTTTTAAACAACATTGTTGATTACTGAAACATATGCCTTGAGGAGGAGGTGAGTGTATAGTTAGTTACACAGGTGCTTTTTTTTACAGCATTAGATTGTTAGTATCATCATACATTTTATATTTCATAATTATTCTACCATAACACTTCTATTACATCTTGTACACTATTAATTCAGTACATTTTATTAAAGCAGTGCAGCAGCTAAATGTATCTGCAATGCTTTAACATAATAGTCTGCTCCAGTGCATAGAAGGAGTTGCTACATATAATGGTTTGGTGGTGTGCATGTGTGTTTTTGTACAGTAATTTCTGTTTAAGTAATAGACATCACATAAATCAAAAGATCAAATTTTTCATCTTTATTATTCTAATATTATCAAGTGTTTCCTGTTAACAAGAGAAAAAAAATCTGGCACTGCTCAACTGCTGCATGATAAATCTTTTAAATGTTTAGGATTATCTTCAAATTCCTGGCTAGCAAACAAACCTTTGAACACAGAACTAACATTATATAAAGAAAGTATCAGATAGTATGGTTGTAAGTTTTGTAAAATGACTAAAAAGTTATAGCACTAATATTTCACAATGTTACTTTGAATTCTATTTTCAAACAAGGACTTTGTTATAGCTTCTCGATTAAGAATTGTTTGCAACACATCATAGTAATTCTTTATAGAAAAAGTAACATATGCCATTATAAAATGTTTTCAATATTTACAATGCTAAGGTACCTAAAAATTACACATCTTTCTTCTAGTTAAATCTTTTTGTACCCACTAGTAACTTCTGTAATATGATCAACACAGTTTTCATGTTAGTTTTTAAAACTCAATGTTTTTATAGCTTGGAACTCTTTCTCACCTGTTATAGTATAGGTAACCTCAGAATTTTGTCCTTCATCCAAATCAGTAGCTATCACTGTATGAATGATGCTAAGGTCACTATTTTCTGGAACTTGCAGAGAGTAACAGGATTCCCCAAAATTAGGAGTATGATCATTAACATCAAGAACCTCAACCTCAACTGTTGCTGAATCAAAAAATGTTGGAAAAGCTCCATCTTTTACATAAACTGTAAGTAAATAACGAGCTCTTTCTTCTCGATCTAATAGACCAGCAGTAGTAATCCGTCCTGACTGTTCATTGATTGTGAACTTGCCATCAGCTATACCTTTTGGAATTATGTATGTCAGGTTTCCATTAAGTCCTAAACCACATTTAAAAATATTCAAATAAAAATGAATCAGCAAAATTAAAAACAAAACAAAAAAGTATATACTGAAAAAATATCTATAAAACAGTTGAATAAAACATACTATGAACATATATGGCTATAATGATTCTTAATAAAATTATTGAAAATTAAAAGAACCAGTGTGAGTCAATTCTTTAGTGGTAGAACTTGCAGTTTATACTTGAACAAAAAAAGAAAGAAATAATAACAGAAAGGGCCATTTAGCCCATTCAGTTAGTTCTCTGTCTTCTAACACTCTCAAGGAATATCCTACAAATCTTATGCATCAAGAAAATAAATACTCTTCACTCAATGAAGGTGATAGAGCAAAAAGACTGTGAAAAAAGCCTTCTGTGTGGTTTCAAAGTGTAACATAATGGGTGATATGGAAGACTGCTCAACCATCTCAAATATCTCAGGCAGTTGACAGAGCATGTAAGTGTAGTGTGGCTAGAGCAATAAGTCAGATTGTACAGTATTGGTGCAATATTTTTGTGAAATACGTACCACAATAATCAGGCGCATGGAGGAATCATTTCAGACCCACATCCCAAAGAGAACACAAGAACCATTTGGCTGGCCTAATTATTGGGAATGGTTTGGTTTCGAGTGTATAGGATGGCCTGTACTATACATCAAGGTAAACATTCCAACCCTACTTCCCACCAAGGGGTGTGTCCACCTCTGTCTCACATCAGTGGAATTACACAAACCTGAAGGGAAACTTTCTATATTGACTTCCCCAATGGCTTAGGACTAAAGAAGCAAAGGTTTTCCCATTATTCCACTACAATA